GACCTTCGCAGTTCAAGACACTAAGGGTTGTGGGTTGGATTCCCGGCCTCCTAACACCTGGCACGAGCTGGAAAACCGAAGCTACTTCCACAACCRGCCAGGAGGCCCAAGCCAATTATCTCCACTGGTGAACCCGAAGCGTGTCACAGGGGGCCGCGGGGTTTGAATGGCTGACGTGGGGAACTGAACCCACGACCTCCTGAATACCACTTACGTGCTTAACCGACAGAGCTTTTTGTTTTGTCTTCTTGCTGTTTTCATAGATGCAGAAGGGTGTACTACCTAAGGAAGATATCCTGTCGAGCATCAGAAATAGCCTCAAATAGGTCTCTGGGACATCAGTCTTGACTCGTGACGGTTAGGTGGCGGCATTACTCTCCCAGCTGTCTTTTTTTCTTTTTGATGCGTGTGCACCGTACGTGCCGGTCCGCCGCACGGATCCCGTGCGCTCGTGCGCCGTGCATGTGCAATTGCCCGCACGGCACGCGCTTGCATGTATGTTTTTTTTTCACGCTACTTCAGTTTGTGTGGTGCGCGTGCTAAGTACCAGTGGGGGGGGTCATGTACAGCTTGGAGCAAAGTGTGTGAGAATTTCCACGTCCGTATGGTGTTGTGTGTGGTCACTATAAGAGAAAGTCCTATCCGTCACGAGAGCGGCGGCGTGCTCTACCAGGCTCTTCCCTTCCGCCGGTGAGCCACACCATTGTCATTAGCTATCTGGTGGTTAGATGGTGGGTCAATTATTTCACTAGGGTGAAAGGGAGTCTTATGTACTGATGGTTTTGACGAAGATTCTGTGAAACTTGCTCATCATTTAGAAGTTGTTTGGAATGTCACTGTGGTGTGTGTTGAGTGGGACACTGCACCTTTGTGGGCTAGGGTGGGTATGCTGAACACGATTTTCCTCCTGTAGTGATTAACACACTTGGCTCTTGAGCCCAAGATCACCAGTTCGAATCCGTGCTTGCACGGAGGAAGGCTTAGGCCTAGGGTTGTGGATCCATGACTGCTGCTGCTATTTGTTTCATGCCACTTCAGTTTGTTTGATGGTCATGCAGTGCTTTTACACCACCAGTACTTGGCCCATACATCGGCCGTGGGCGTTTCCCGTTAACGCGCCGCGACTGATGGGCTTCGGCCTACCGGACCACAATGTCTGGAAGCGCCAGCCAAAAGAGAGACGAAACGACGCGGCGGCGGCTTGGCAAAACTTGGCGCGCAGGCCGTTTCCCGGCTCGGCATTAATAGCTGGGCCAAGTACTGGTGGTTTAACCTTGACTTCTTTTTTTTCAATGCTTATCCAGTGAAGTAATTTATAGCTGATTAGGAGTCGTGGTGTTATAGAATTTTCAATTTTGTATGTGAAATTGAGGGAAGAATATAGGTTAAAAAAAAAATCAATTTTGTATTTAGACTTCTTTTATACGTTCAATATTAGTGGTATATATATTTATTATTCATTTGTTTTTTTTGTCAACGTGCCTGTTTTTGACTCTTTGATTCTGAGTCTGTAACAGTACGGATTGATTTGAGATGCAATGAAGCATTGGCTCCATCGCTCCAAATATATATATATATTTTTGGTAGCTGTGTTTGGGAAAACCATCTCCCCGAATTTTTTGCTATTGCGTCTTTGGACCTCCTAAACTTTAATTACTATTTTTCTCATGTACTCACCAGCAGGCCTAACTCAGTTGGTACACCCATGAACTATTGAAATACAGTTCTTTGGTTAGTCTCCTGCTGTGCGTTAGCAACCTAAAACCACCAGGAGGAAGATCCCACTACCGATGTATGTGGATTAGTGGAGAGGGTGTGAGACTCCGAAGAACTGCTGATCAGAACGGTGATCGGCGGTGTGGTGTTTCTTGTATTTGAGTGGGGGGACATACATGTATCTTCAGGGCCTCCAATTGGACTGTCTTTCTTTTTATTTTGTTGTGTAGGTCATGTAGGGGTCCCCAATGCGAGTGAAAATCATAACGATTTTTTTTGTGATGGTTTTCATGCACCTTTCGCACACCTTTGGTTTGTGGGCCATGCATGGAAGAGAGGCTGAAATCGACAGTGTGGGAGGTGTTTCAGGAGGATTCGACACCCTCACCTAACAGCAAATATGGCATAGAGTTACTCTGACATCTGTCAGAGCGAAGGACCAGAGTGCACTGTGGCCCATTTCAAGGAAGGCTCAGGCAAGGACCCCACAGGACCGCAGAAAGGAAAAACTTTGCCGCAAACTGTTTCCAGGACCCCACAGCCTGCCGCAAATGTCCTGGAAAAGGTGAAATTTCTTCCGCAAACCCTTTTCCAGGACCCCACAGACCGAAGATTGCGGCTTGGAAAAACATCAATTTGTGATTTCACATAGTCTGCGGCCTGGAAAAGTCTCACGGGAGGATTCCTCGCCGAAATTTTGTGCAGACTCTAGAGGGGAGGGGGGAGGGCATGTCGTTCCTGGAAAAGTCTCACGGAGGCAGCAGCCAATAGCGAAGAAGAGTGCCACCAAAAAAAAAAAAAAAAAAACCGGAAAAAATAACAAAACAAACGAGTGCCAACGGAAACAGGCAACGGTTGGCTGAACTGATTTCCGAAGGGTTTTCCAAGCGCATTTGGTCCTCTGCGATGGGGTCCCGGAAAAACTACTTTCCGACTTTCCAAAATGATTTGCCTGCTTTTCGTGGCCACACGTCTTTTCCATCCGCACCCCAGTGGGGTCCTTGCCTCAGACTACTGTAAATGAATCCGGTCCACTTGGACACTCACGTGCAGTCATTTTGACTGCCACAGAGATGGTCAGTGAATCATACCCTGACATCTGACACGCTGCCTGGATGAGACAGGGTCCGTGGGAAGACCACTTCCTTCTCTTTTTCAGCATTTCTCTCTTCATTTTTTTTGTCAAGAAATGGTTTTTCGTTTGTATTTTACCTAGTTCACTCTGCCACCCACCCGTCCCCCGCACGTCACACTAATCCAAATACATGGCTAGTGGGATCTCCCTCCAGTACATCCAGCTATCGGCCGCGGGCCCTTTTCGGAGGCCACCCGCCGCCGATTCGATTTATTTACGGCGCTGGGACTCCAAAAATTTCGTAGGTTACAAGTTTTCTTTTCAGCAAGGCTGGGGCCGTGTACTGGGGGATTAAGAGGTTATGTTCCCCGGTTTCTGCGATCCTTGTATTCTCCATGCTTGCCGGTGACAAGTAAGGTTCCCCCCAGAATATAAACGGGATGTCTTTTTTTTTTTTTTTTAGTGAAATACGGAGCCAAGTTCGAATCCAGATGCCATCAAATGAACAAAACGTTTCTCACGTACTCTGTTTTTTGTTTTTTTTTTTTTTTTTTTTTTTAACTCTGTTTTTTGGGGGAAGGAACTCAGCTCATGATTATGTTTCTACAGACCCAAGTTTGAATCCAGATGCAATCAAATGAGCTGAATGTACTCTGTTTGGGGGAAGCAGCTCTGCTGATGATAATATTTTTTGTCGCCTCTTTCACAGCTTCAGTGGAGGCATTCCCATGAGTGTCGCTAACGCCACCAAGCTCCGTGTTCTGGATTTGACTGCAAACGTTGACTTGAATCATCATTTGGTCATCGATGACATGTCCACAGAGCTCGAGGAGCTGAGGTAAGGAGCGGCTGAAAGATATTCCTGTTGACTTGTCATTTTTGTATCATTTTTCATTCTCGACTTTCCCTATCCGTTATGTATGGTGTTTTATATTACTTGTTCAGGCGCCTTTCGGCTTACTTGCTAGGAAAAGTTTCATGACCGGCCAGTCTGGACCGTCCGGTCACCCGGGGATGACGCCCGGAATACCTGGGCATGGAAAAAAAAGTAAAAAATAGAAAACTTGGCGGTGGGTTTTTTCCGCGCTCTCCGAGAGGAGCCCAAATCTGGACTTTTTTCTTTTTTAGAGAGTTGGCTGTCAACGGGGGGAAAGGCGAGTATAAATGAATTTTAGAGGGGCTAAAGGGGTTTAAACGGGGGTGCCTTAGTGTGATTTGGCTCTTTTTTTTAATCTTCAGTTCCGTGAGGATTTTTTTTATTTATTATTTTTTTTTTAACGGGCCCAGTGCCCAAGGCTGGTATTACCAATAAGAAGATTGTGGGTTGAGGCCGGGGTCCTCACAGTCTGCCCGGAGTAACCGAACCAAACTTGCTGAGAACCGGGCTCAGCGTCCCTCATGTGGTGATGATGATGATCCTGGATGATGCTAATGATGATGATGAGTTGTATCTATAAAGATTATAGAAGCATGTGCTATATCGACAATTCTGGCCTCCTAATCCTATACCGAGTCCTAGTCTTCCCTGTACCAGGACATTGTAACTCAGAGACAAAAGCAACCTAACCTACATCCCTCATAGCTGATCTCTTCTCGCCACATAGCAGCCCCCCCCAGTTCGCCACTGGATTGCCTTCCTCCCTCGGCAAACCCCAGATCTCTCTACAAGGCCTCACGCTCCTGCCATTTGCAGGTTACAGGGCAGCGCCCCAGCTCCTGCCAGCGTCGTTCTGGCATCGGTCAACCAGGGGCACAGAACAGAGCAACTCTGCAGATATCAGTCCAGGTTCAACCATCTCTGAAGTCCTATCTCCCAGATGTAGAAGAATGCTAGATGCTGCCAAGAAAACCAGAACACCAGAAAGCTAAAATATTACCTGATGACGATGATGATGATGATGATTTTTTTTTATTATTTTTTTTTTAATGAAGGGGCCCAGTGCCCAAGGCTGATATTTCAAAAGACAATAGCGAGGCCGGGGTCCTCACAATCTACCCGGAGATGGCCATTCCTGGGAGCCTTACCCAGGTTCGCTTTTTACGAGACCCAACAAGGGACCCGAAATCCAAAAGATATCTCCAAACCATAATGAGAAAGATGCCTGCCTCTTCAGCCTTTAAAAGCCGCCAAATCTAACATGGCATACCAAGCAGCTACATCAAATCTTTTCCTCATTGCACAAGAGTTATCACCCCTCATCCCACACTAGTCCTTTATATATAAAATGAATATGGCATCTCCACCAGCGCTAGATGTGATGGGGGAAAAGGGTCTGCAAAGTCCCTGGGGTCCCTGAGTGAGGTTCCTGGTAGTAGTGAGAACCAGTTCTTGAAACAGAGTTGGAAGTCTCTTTTAAAGGAGACATCCGGTCCTTCTACCCTTGGCCACGTCACTTCTCCCAGACTCCTCTCTCCTGCACCCCCCAGCCAGTCCACAACAAATTCCTGAATTAAGAGTTGAATATCCTTTTTTCTTTGTAGTTTGTATAATTTAGAGCACAGCACATCCCAATTAGTTCTAATTTCTGTTTGTATGAAATGAACAATATACTCAGAAATTTCTGATCCCTCTAGTGCTACATTCTCTCTTTCCATGACACATCGTACCAATTTCAAAAAAATTAGATTGGAAAGGAGTTCATATGATATTTTGTGGGAACCAATGGCCTACAAGAATTGCTTTCCAATCCCAAGGCCAGTCCAGGCCAGTGAGCTTCGTCCAAACATAGTCCCATCTCCTCCATAATATAACCGAACCAGGGCATTGCATAAAAATGTGTTCAATAATTTCCGGACATGACTTGCACCAAGGAAGGGCCAAACCCTTTTGTTCCAATGATGAGCGGTCTATGACCCAATCATTTGTAGGCAGACAACGATGAGCGATTTGCCACTGCAGTGAAGAAAATTTAGTTGGACGCTGTCTGATTTTTATTAAAAAAAATTATCTTTTTAGTTGGATTTATATCCAGATTAAGGTGCCTAGCCCATCTTTCCCAAAGGATTGCAGAGATGTCCACTCTTGGCCTCAGTAGACGATAGGCCGCTTTTACCGTTAGTGCTTGTAATGATCTGGGTTAACCTTTCTTGGTGGTTTGCCATATCCATTCTACAGGTTCCAGCGGAAGTTCCGGAATGGGTATTTTCGGATGAAAAGCTCTCCACCCTTTAATTGAGGAGATGAAGAGAACCCTGATTCGATACAAGTGTGTCAAAGGGAACAGACCAACTGGATCTGAAGGAGAATGAATCAAGAAATAATCTCTATTTGTTTTGCAAAGGCTGACCATAGCTCCTTGCTGGGTCATGTGAACCACCTGTCCTAGTACCTTTTGTCCATTGGTTTGGACCCCAACCACCCAATCTCACTCCTTAAACCTGGGCCCTCTCTTGAGGGTAGATACCCAGGCTAGGGGTATGGAAAAAATTATCTGGTCCAAACTTGTATTACGATGATGAGCATATCGAAGGGTTTGCCTCAACTGATCTCCCGTTCTCCAATCTTTCTTTTTTGAGTCCCATATGTCTTTGATACGTGTAATCCCCTTCTTAACCCACTGGCTCCATGGAGGGGAAGAACTGTTAAAAATACATCCATTTAGGTCAGTAATCCATCGATTACCAAAAAGTGGTTGTCGAAGGATCTCTTCTTATGTAGTAGGGAAGGGTCTATCAGGTAGTGGTAGGCGTCTCCATATTTTTCAGCAGATTTGCCCATAGATTATCTAGGACCATATCCCTTCTTGCTTCCTCCCTTTCTCCCACTCCACTTCCCCCTGTCTTTGCCCTGGGGATAGTCCAAAAGCGAACTTCAATCCATGAAAGCGGATGTATGTCCTCACTTGAGACTGGGGCTAGTCTACGAATTTGTTCCAGTGCCATTACCTGCCAAGGTATGTCAGTAGATAAGATTTTTTTTTTATCCATTGTATCGCTAGAGCCTGGGACTGCAGATTAGGATTAAGGATTCCTAGACCTCCCCTAGCTTTGGGTTGAATCAAATACCGCCAAGCCACTCTAGGAATTACCTTATCCTGCTCATGATTACTTCTCCATAAAAAAGTTGTGACCTGTCTCTGCAGGATTTTGGTGCGTGTCTTACTTATGGACCACATAGCAGATTTATACCATATGGAAGCCAGAATAACATTATTGATGATGAGTGCTCTCCCAAATATGGAGGTATGCTTGTTCTTCCATTGGTGCATTTTGTCAATCGCCGGTTTTGACACCCAATCATCATGAGTCATGGTTTTCCCAACTGCCGTGAGAGAAACACCAAGGATGCCGATGCTGATTTTGATGATGATGCTTCTGATAATTAGTATGTGAAAAATATAGAAAAATATAGAGACTATGCTATATCAGCACTTCTGGCCTCCTAATCCTAGAACCCCTCCTAGCCCTCCCCATACCAAGACATTACATCTCAGAGACAATGCCCTCCTCACCAATGTCAACCATAGCTGACCTGTTCTCGCCACCTATACTATCCCTGGCCCCATAGGGTTGTCAAGGCAGCCCCCCCAGTTCGCCACTGGATTGCTTCCCTCCCTCAGCAGATCCCCGGATCTCTCTACAAGGCCTCACGCTCCCGCCAATGCAGGTTACAGGGCACCGCCCCAGCTCTGGCCAGTGTCGTTCTGGCATCGGCTAACCAGGGGCACAGAACAAGGCAACTCTGCAGATATCGGTCCAGATTCGATCATCTCTGAAATCCTTTATCCTGAATAAGGGAGAATGCCAGATGTCGTCCAAAATTGCAGAACACCAATAGGCATGATATAACATGAATGATGATGATGTTATCCTACGATTAGTCTCCCCCTTCCCCTCCTTTCCACCCTGTCCCAACGCTGCCTCCGCAGAAACGGATTACCTAGTCTACAGGCAACCCATCACAGCCCCAACTTGTGACAGTCCCACCTTCCCCCGCCTTGTCCCAGAAAGGCATACAGTTCCCTCCCAAAGTATGCTTCTGCCCACCATTTACCCTGATCTGCCCCCGCTGGTGTGAGTAACCCCCCCACCAACCCCAGACTAAGGCAACCCACTAACTCTGCTCGCACCCCTTGCAGGGCTTCACCTCCCACCTTGTGTCACCCTTGGAGAGTGGAGCTCTCCCCTGGTCCCTCACCTTCCATCCATCAGAAGTAAATGTGGATACTTCAGAGAGGAGAGTATAGATACCAGGAATCCAACTGGCATTTCGAAAAAATGCGCTGAAAAAATTCAAATGCATTTCAAAGACGAGGTTTCTGAACTGGAATTGATCAGAGTCATCATTGTGGGAGTAAAAGCAGTGAAAAATAGACCTGGAAAGTGAAACGATTCAGAGATTGGAAATTTTAGCGAAAAAGGATTCGTATCTAGAATTCCAGCTGTAAGAAATAATATGAAGAAATTAATGGGAGTCTATAGGGAAAATTTAGGAATTAAATCCTCCTGAATTTTTGGCAGGGAAGTTTAGGCATGTAAAAATACCTTATATGTTAATTATATGTTAATTAGACAAGAAATTTCAGATTTTAAGGATAAGAAAGATCAAGAATGTATTGAGACTTTAGTTTGGATATTAGTTAGAGAAAGTAGTTAGGGTCGTAATGAGATCGTAGCTTGTATATTAGTTTGAGAAAAGTAGTTCGGATCTTAATGGATCGTAGTGAAATGATGCTATTAAAGGTCGGATTGGATGATTAGATCATACCTCAATATTGATGATGATGATGATGATGATGATGATAATGGTGATGATGATAACCGCGATGACAGAGCCGATGATGATGATGATGACGGTGATGATAAAGCCGAAGATGATGATGATGACGATGATGATGG